TTAAGACTTATAAAAATGGAAAAGGAAGAAAAATTGAGATAAAGTTGTACATAAATTTATCTTCTTTATATCGACATGTCAATATTTGAGGTATTGACAAAGATTATAAATAAAGCTTATCTGTAGAAGTATACATATCGACATGAATTGTATTACGCAATAGGCGCACATTTGTTGAGAACAGTGCTTGTTTGATTGAAATTAAAAAAAAAATAGCAAAAGAAAATTGCAGTTACGGATATTGGTTTACAGATTATCGCTATTTGTAAGTTTCATTTTTATAGATATCTTTATGATTGCCTTTTAGTTTACGTAATTATTATTACCTTTTCCGGCGATATAACAATTTAATCGATGTTATTTCAAAACTGCATAATGATAGATATATAGAAAATACCATGCTGGTGCTCGAAATTACAAAAATGTTCAGGCAAGGCTTAGAAAAAAAATGAAGGACGAGGCTCTTCATTACAATGAAGTAGTTATTTCGATACGGAGAACAAGAATTATTTATAAAAAACTTTCATACTTTTTTGTAAAATCTTATACCTCAACAAGTTTCTTTAAGGTATTAACTAACGTAGTGATCTCCCTTACAGGATTAGATCTCTACTATCACAACATTTTCGTCAAGATAATTGACGATATGATTTATTATCAATGTTGATATTTATTAGTTAACACGGTTTTGCTAATGTTTCAAGACCGTAAGGTGTTAGATGTGAACTAAAATATAAAAAATTTCGGAAACATAAATATTATGAAAATAATTTTGATATCGCACCGTTTATTTACGCTTTCGAAAGAGAAATTATTCAAGTAATTTCGATTCTACAATTAACAAAAATGATTTTTTTCAAGCATGCTTGACACCTGAGCTCAAAGTTATAATGTCGCTGTTTATTACAGATAAAACAAATATTCAACGATTTCTTTTGCCTGTCAGACAATCATCGCGTGATTTGTGTGGAAGCAGCGGTTATTGGCCGTAGCGTAACCGGTGCGCGGAATTTGGGTATTTAAATGTTACATGCTCGTTCTTGTTTTATACGAATAGTATGATATTGTATTTTTTTATCAAATGCTATTCATTTAAAAAAAAAACCTTCTCGTACATTCCTGATGTTAACGTTTTTAGAGATAAGATATGTAGGTATCTAGACGCCATAGTTATTTGTTTTTTAGCAAAGTCTATCGAAGTTCCCATTTAAGCGTACTTGAGCGTACTTGGGCTGAAGAAAACTTAATACTTGACACACATGTCCCCATATACTTTAAGACAGGAAATGCAACGAGTTACAAAATTTATTCAAATATAAAATATGGAATCATGTCAGTAAGTCGATATTTGAATACTTTACAAACCAAACCCAAACAATTAGGTTGCGTCTAATAAATATACAAATGAAACACTGGTATGTACAACATCGTCATCGTCAAAATACGTCATGTTTAAAAAATATCACTAAATGTAACAAGTGACACACATAACATAGATAGCGGGTTAAATTTAGAATAATGAAAATACATTTTATTTTCTGTTTCAGATGCCATTGTTCAGCATATAGGATGGAACACAATACAGTTTTAACAATATGCATTTTCGTGTGCCTGCTTACTCATCAGGGTTTGTGTTGTGTTGTTAAATTTCTCCGGTCGTTCGCGATTATTTATTTCAACAATTTTTAGGAGAAGAATTTCATAAGACATGTTGTCTTTCATTCTAATCCTGTTTTTTAAGAATATTTGAATTGCATCTGTATATTGTGAATTATAACATGTATATATATTCTGAGAAATAAAATATGTTTAAACTAAACTAAAACTAACAATTTTTAGTTTTGAAAATTTAGAACTAATCAAGGCGGTGCTAGGAGTCGTGAGGGATGTTGCACTTTTTGATTTCCCTCATATAGAGACTCAGTCAAACCGAGTCTGCAGTTTTCATGTAATTTTGTGTTGTGATAAATGTTGTGATAAATGTTTCCAATGGATAACAATTCTTTGTTTTGACTAATAAAACATGACGTAAAATTATTTTCGTATAGGAAGGTCAAACTCATATTATTTCTTATTAGCGACTTAAATTCGAGTTACATTTACATTATTTTGTTATGGCAATATTCTCTTTCAAATTCTGAAGTAATAGAAGATGATCACCTGTTTAGAAAAAGTATAAATCCTATCTTAGGGTAAGATTATATAACAATATTTTGAAATTGTTACACATGTTACACATGTGAAATATGAACGTTATGCTCACACAAACAAGACAGAGGTATTCCGATTACGCAGTGGTACGTGAAAAGCATGACAACCTATTTCTTTATATGAACACACGCCGAATTACCGAAACAGCGATAATGCATCTTTCATTTTCGTGCATTTACATCTACAGAAAGCCCTCATACATAAAACATCCCCTGCCGTGCATGGTTGGTGTTTCATTGCCCCCTCGTGCTTCTGCAGATGTTTATATACCAAAAAAGGTTAAATTAACCCTTTAGTGATTATAACAATAAGACATTATTACAAATCCCGTATTATATGTAGGGTGTCATCGATAATAAAAAAATTTAGATTATATTTCACAGCGTATGCAGTATGTGACTTGCAGTCGCCATTTACTATCTCGGAAACAGCACCAAATGGTATGTGTTATTTAAGTTTTAGTGTGCGTGCTTGTGTATGGTCTAAATAAACAATTCATACTAAGTATACTTGAATATAATCATAAATGCGGATCCATTAATTTATCAAGCGGTGTGATTGCCAGTATTTCAAATATTCATAATTGTTTAAGCAATAATTATTTCATATTGAATTTGTCTCACTTTACTTTAAACCTCTCCGTTGTTTAAAATATGATAAACAATATCAACAAGGAAAGACAGCGTTCAATGAACGTACGTTTCCCATGGATGCTCAAATCAGAGCTGTTTTAGTCTACTGGGATTTATCTCATGTCGAAGTTTATTTACGTGGGAAGTATCCATCATTCCTTGAGGGAAAAATCCCAGCCAAAAAACAATCGTACATAAGTCAGTGATTCCAAATCCGTCAGAGAGAAAGATTGAATTTCCTCAAGTTCACAGAAACAATAAAGAAATTCCATCCAAACTTAACTACTTGATAATTAAGTCATCGTTAATGCAGCAATGTATAAGACGTCTGAATAATAATTTTATCCATAAATTTATAGGCACTGTTATTTTAAATACCACCAAACTTCCGGGAACAAATGCGTCGTTTACCATTAAAAATCCAACACAAGGAGGTGTCGGTGTCGGCCTGAGGGACAGACTTTCGTTAATTAATGATAACACAACCTTTCAACTCATAAATTCGGAAGTCCTAGATCTTGAAGAATTCATGATCACGGTTAGATTTGTTATAATAAAATTTTGTGTAATTTTTAATATGGCCAATAATTATTATATTTTGTTGACCATACAAACCATACAACTGTATAATGGAAGTTTTTGATTTATTTCAATTATTTCAGAGATTTTTTTGTACCGTTTCTGTTTTATTATCTCTTCAAATTGATTTCATTTAGTTAGTTATGTAAACTGATATTGAAAAATTGTCAAAGAATATCAATTATATTACATAATTTATTTTGAAAAGATGATATGCAAATGCTGAATATATGTAGTTCATTTCTAGGAAATATCTATATATTTCATGAAAATTTTATCTTTATATTTTAGTATGGAGCGGATATTAGTATTATAGAGTTGATGGTCACATGTGGCGGTTAAATTGTAATTATTCTATTTTTATGCTATCCTTCCAAATTCAATGCAGCATAATATACAAATATGGATTTTTTAGCTGGCGAATATGATGTGATATGTACTGAAAAAAATAATATCGCCTCGGTCAATATTAATTTTTCAGTACATATCACATCATATTCACCAGCTAAAAAGTACATATCTGCTTTATTATATAATTTATAAATAGCTTTTATATGGCTTATTAAATCTGCTATTGCCTAGGTCGGAATTCAACATTTTTCAGCTTGTCTTATTTTTCCAAATGAGCGCATTAGCAAGATTATTTTTAGTGTTCTTTAAAATGTAAAGACGTTAAATAAAATAAACTAATTTGACTCTTATTTAAGAGTCATCCAACTTTTTTTTCAGAATAATATATAACAACAAACTTGACGTGACATCATGTCATAGTCTCGCGTCTTTCGAGGAATTTCCAGAAAATCTATTTTTTGAAGAAAACCCGGTGAATATACTCTGAAAATCTATTTTTAGGAAACAAACAGCGAATATACTCTGATATTGACCTGTTATTTTTTACAAAAAGTTGCTTGTTAGCCAATCAGGGAAAGGCATTTCAAAGCTATTTATAGATTATATAATAATGCAATTTATTTGCGATTTATGACTCGTTCTTTCATGAGGAGTATCAAGGAGTTAAAAATGTTACATATATTTTAAAAAACGAGAATAAAAATCAATTTAGACAAAGGCAACGTTCATAGAGCGAAGCCCCCGACACACCCAAGCAGGGCCGCCAGAATGCACCAAACCAAAATTTGGAGGGAGATTAGGGCGACGAAACGAGAGGGACACGTAAAGTGTGAAATAATAAAAACTAAAACGGGCTCATATGGAAAGTAAAGGAATAAGGGCTGTAAGGGTGAAAAGGGGTTGGGTAAAAAATCGGACGGGGTGAGAAAATCCCTACCGTCAACGACAATCCAGCAAGGCAGGCATCTTAAACATGTAAACATTCACCAATTAACAATACAGACATGAAAAACACGTGAAGAAACACAGTGGGGTACCACCTTGGAACGGTCAGTGGTAGATACACCACTTGGAAGTTTAAACCGGTTTCAGGCGCGCCAAACCTCACTCTTATCCTCAATATGTTCCTAATGACACGAAAGTGTATATAAAATTAATCGCCGCCAAGTGAAATTCTAACAATGGTCATGGTTACATTAGACCAAATAAATGAAACATTGTGTAAACATGTACAAAAAGGTACAGCTTAATGACTTTTTACCAAAGTACGCGATGCCTTAAAGGAAGGCAGAGCAACAAGCAAATCTCGCTTTAAAGTGTCTTATGGTGTTTTCCTAAGTTTTCTGCACTCTTATGAAAATCATTTTCATGATACTGCATAAAATAAGTTTTTTTTTGTTATTTACTTCCAACCTACCGTATAACTAAGCCATTTTAATATAAATGAAGGTGTTAATTTACAATGTGATATGCTGTCGACATGATTGCTGATTCAAAGAACTGTACAGATTGTAGCTGATTTAAAACTTCAAACATTTTACTTTCTATGAAGTTTTGTCAATTTTGTCTTTAGGATTGTTGTTTGAAATCTTGTTAAATCACGTTAATATATATGTATAACAAACCATAAATTGTTTCAACATTATTGATATGAGCCATATAAATATTCAATGACTTTCTTAAGAAGTGGTCGTTATTCCAAATAGTCTACAAATTTATACTGTTTATTACGATATAACCACATACCTAGAATCATAAACATTTTAACAATAGCCAAATAACAATATTTCTATTTTTCCTCTTGCTATTGTTAACACAAAATACAGATAGAATATGTGTATGTATGACTACAGATGAATTTAAAACGATAAGAAAACATTGACTTTTAACTTCAGGTTGAAGTGTTTATTAATGTGGCAGGAGTAAACGAATTCCCTCCCGTTTTTAATAACCGCCCATACAACGTCACGTTGATGGAGGTAAGATTGTAATCATTGTTTAAGTATTGTGTCACTTGCATTACGATGTGTACTAGTACTTCTGTTTGTTTGTTTAATTATTATATGATAATAATAAAAATATAGATCATTAATAAAGATAATGACAGTAATGTGTTATCTTTAAAAAAAGCATGTGTCACCAACATTAACAAAATCTATAAATCAAAGAAATTTTTAAAATGAAGTTATCTTTATTTATTACTGATCTCTTCAACAAAGCATGTTTTACAAAAAAAATATTGTTGAGCATATTGAATACAAAATATATTTTCCTTGCAGGAAAAATACGTTGTATTTCTATATAGATGCGGATCAAAATATAATTGTTCATAGTTAAATTTCTTTAATATCTTATTACCTATATTGGCATGTTATACATGAATTGAGTATTATATAATATAATACTGAAATAACTAAATAATTTTTCCTTGCATCTTAAACAACATCATCATTTGTCTTGCTTGTCTACCAATTTGATATACGAGTACTCTTTAAAGAAATTTTGTCCATATTTTTTTTTTGAACAACAATTTTTTTAAAAATATTTTCATGTTTAGTCTTTGACTGTGAGTTCATTAGTATTTTCCCTGAGACCAAGAGTTTTTGATCATGACGTCGTAGATGCTGAACAATACAGTTTTGCCATACAAAAGTACAGTATCACAGAAGTAAGTAATTTGCTTTGTTAACGAAATATTTCTAATTTAAAAATTGCTTGTCTTTAGAGATCGTAATAAAAGTAGCTTTTCATTTTTAGAACAAGCCATTGTCATATTCTTTACAAGAGTCGGACAATCATAATGTGCGGATTTTAACTAATTCTAACACTGATATATGCATGAAAACATTAATAGATTAAATTGTTAGATCAAAACGAAACAAACCGTTCATAAACTTTTTGACATTAATTTACAGTATGACGGTGCAAACTATTTCAATATACTAGCATCATCTAAAGGAGACATAATTCTAGCCAGGAAGCTCAATTTTGATACCATGGAGAGAAGCAAACTTTTTCTCAACCTGAGTGTATCCGTAAGTTGCATACTTATACACCACAAAAGCAAAAACATATGTCATAATTTAATATATAGTTATGAATAGGTAGTTAGTATAATTTCAATGAGTTGCAGTTGCCGTATTGTTAAGGTCGTTGACTTCAATTGCCCGTCACCACTGTAGGTTTGAATCCCGCAAGGGACTGTGGATTCCTTTATGTGAGAAGGCTATCTAGCTAGGTAAATGAACGTCGTTGGTTCTACTTAGGTGCCCGTTCGTGTCTACAATAACGCATGGAAGGGCACCTGTGGTCGTCCTCTACATGTAAAAAAGCTGGAAAATGGCCATTTGACCTCTACTGTATTAGTGCGACGTAAAACCAAATAATTAAGATTTGTTTGTAAAACATGTATGCCCCCTATCGGCAGCCAATTAGTCATGTGATCAGGTTATTATGCATGACTTCTGACACAGTGAACAAAAAATAATAAGGGTTATCTACTGGTCATGACTAGTCACAAGGTAAAAATTATTGTGGCCCCATAGGTTGTGTGCAGCAATTTAAGTTATAACAAATCTTACCAAATAATATATGCATAAATTTTATAAATCATGTAGGCCTCAGTAATGACAGCCAAGTTGTTATATTACGTAAGCCCTTCAAATGTGGATACCAAAAGCATTTTTAGTTTAATATAAAAATATCAATCAAGGCAACTTGGGTTGTTGAGTTATCGGTCAGAACCCGCCTTTAAGTACAAGGTAAATATGACACTAACCCCTTGACCCCAAAATCAAAAGGGGTCATCTGCTGGTCATGACCAATCATCATACTAAGTTTGAAGTTCCTAGGCCTAAGCGTGCTTTAGTTATTGATTGGAAACCGTTTTTACCGACAAGGTCAATGTGACCTTGACCTTTGACCCTAAAATCAATAGGGGTCATCTGCTGGTCAAGACCAATCATCATACCAAGTTTGAAGTTCCTAGGCCTAAGCGTTTTTTAGTTATTGATCGGAAACCGTTTTTTTACCTACAAGGTCAATGCGACGTTGACCTTTGACCCCTTGACCCCAAAATCGATGTGGGTTATCTACTGGTCATGACAAATCATCATACCAAGTTTGACGTTCCTAGGCTTAAGCGTTCTTTAGTAATTGATAGGAAACCGTTTTTACCTACAAAGTCAATGTGACCTTGACCTTTGACCCCAAAATCAATAGGGGTCATTTACTGGTCATGACCAATCATCATACCAAGTTTGAAGTTTGTAGGCCTAAGCGTTCTTTAGTTATTGATCGAAAACCTATTTACCTACAAGGTCAATGTGACCTTGTCCTTTGACCCCTTGACACTAAAATCAATAGGGGTCATCTGCTTGTAATGACCAATCATCATACCAAGTTTGAAGTTCCTAGGCCTTAGGGTTCTTTAGGTATCACTCGGAAACCATTTGGTCTACAGACCGACGGACCGACAAACAGACAAATGCAAAGCAATATACCCCCTCTTCTTTGAAGTGGGGGCATAAAAATGAGTTCCAATACTAAGGGAGATCAAATATTCTGTGGCAAGATTATATTTTTTCTCGTAGACTGGAGCATATTCCAAGGAATTCGATACAGAAATCAAATATGGCTATTTTTTTTTCGAATTGAGCAATATTTGTATTGGAAATGATGCCGAAAATGACGTCAAGATCACGTGGTATTGGTACAAGGGAATGAAGATAGTATTAAACTAACAGTTCTACAAGGAACCGATGAACCAGTTACCTAACAATACAATCATATTGTTTATACAACGTTGTACTGTAAACAAGTATGTAATGAAAAAAGCTAAGTACAAGGTTCAGCCACAGGAATAATATTTGATATAGCATCCTTATAATTTTGAGAGTACTTAAGCGGATGTTATATAACGGTGCAATTTCCAAATCTGTGACTCCGATTTATGTCGCATCGCCGCTAAATGTCGCATTCGGCAAAACAGTCCCAAAAACATTATTACAAAATAATTATCAAATTTTCTTTCCTCGAAATGAATAATGTTGTGATATATCACACAGTAGATAAAACATATCACAGAAACAACAACAACAACTACAAAATAATACATAAAAGAAACTTTCAATTCTAAGTCATAGATGAAAAAATAACTTTTTTTTCTCAACAGGATGAGCCTTCATTGAGTCCTACCGCTAAGACAACTTATACCACTTTGGAAATACAAGTGACAGATGTTGATGATCAGCCTCCATACTTTGACTATCCTGATTGCCCTCCGCCATGTCCAGCTCCACCATTTTTATCTATTATACGACTAAATCACAAAGTATGTATATTTATGATAAAATTAAATCGAGGGCCGTGTAAGCACATGTCAAAATTTAAGATATAAAATGCGTTTCATATCGTTCGTTACTCTAAGTATTTGCCAAACGAATATCTTTTCATCAGTAGTATAGTGAATGATTAAAGTGATGTATGTGTACAGTTATCTTAAGAAAACTGTCAATCAAAGTATCACCTCTGAAGCAAGGGACAGGGCGTGAAGTGGTTGTACACTTGGTTCAAGTTAGAAAATTAGTGGCAAACTTGACAAAATGGCTACCTAGTCATGAATATTTACACTCTCGCGTTTTTTATTTTCTTCAGGTAGTTGGATTGTTTGCTATTTTGTTTTTTAATGTGCCCATTCCTTTAGGCTATATGTATGATACACTCGGTGTTAGGTTTCGGCTTCCTCGCTGCTGATATGATGAAGTTATTGAAGATATCAACTGTTCGTGTACGTATTTTGCGATTTGACAGGGGGCAATTTTTATTTGATTTTCTACTAATTTATTCATAATGCGTACATAAACAGATGATATCTTCAATAGCTTCCTCAAATCAGAACCGACGGAGCTGAAACCTAAAACCGAGTGTGTCATAAACATTGCCTTAAGGATTGGCATATTACCTTTTTTTCGAAATATCTACATATAGCAAATACGTGAGAGTGTTGTGAATATTCATGACTCGGTAGCCATTTTGTCAAGTTTGCAACCAATTGTCTCGCTTGAAACCAAGTAACCACTTCACATCCTGTCCCTTGTAAAGATTGGCCCTTTCCGTCAGTATTTGGCGAATCGTATTTCACGATCGATTAGTAAGCGTCCAGCTAAGATAGACAGTCATAGTTCACTTGCTGGTATTTTATCTGATACCATTGCAAACACTTCGAATATTGCATCGTAGCCCTTCTCTCAAATTTTGAGACTTATAGATATCCTCATTTTCACACTCGTGGCATCTGATACGAAGGAAGTACTCTTGTTATAATAGCTATTTTTCATTACTATGTAGGGCCCTCTGTCTGTGACACCAGACATCAAAGGGAAAATATCCGACACTCTTGGAACTTCTCTGGTGTATTCAATTGAAGCTGGTAAGTAAGCAGTAACATTATCATATAAAAATCGTATTACTATATTCACAATAAAACAAAAACCAATTTCGAGATCTATAGATCTTAAATTTTGTCAAATGAAGAAGTTGGCACCAAAGTTTACCTATTCGATATCACCTGTAACATAAAGGTACCACATTTGAACTAATTGATAGATCTCTGCTCTGGTCTTTTATTTGAATAACAATAGATTTAACCACAAACATTGACATAACAAGTATGTTTTGGTGAAATACTTATTGTATTCACTAATCTGATAATTAGAATTAGAAAGGTCAGGGATCAATGCAAACCAATATAATCTATATTATTATATTATTTATTTTCTCTCATACATAATGCATTTTCTTCAACGACAAAACTAAATTGAAAAAATGACATGTACCAGAATATCAATTTATATTTAGTTTACAACTTGTCTTATTATTAATTCAATATTTCAGGGGACAGACATAATTTATTTAACATTAACCCTGTGACTGGCGTTGTGAATCAAATCAGATCAGTAATTGAAGCAGGCCTACCTGATAAAGAGTTTAGACTCATCATTGAGGTAATAAAAACTAAAAGGACCTCATTTTTATATCAATATACATAACTGTTGATTTATGTTTATTGTTACTGTTACAGGGTGAGAAAATGTGCAGTCTGACCGGGACTTGAACCCGGGACCTTTGGAATACCGTTTTGCGGCTTTATTGACTGAGCTATTTGGCCGCTTACACATCTTCTGCACTAAGTAATGAACAGTTTTAAACCGCGACATACTTTACCACAAAATTGAAATTTATTTTTGAATTTTACAAAGTTACAGAGCAATGCTAATTGAACTATTAAAAAATATTAAAAATTAAAAACAACAACCAGTATTTATTTATATTTTATTTATTTATAATTACTCCCCTATAACATTACAAAACAATGAACAACATATTCAGATAATATTTGTTTCACCTATTTACAAATCTAGATTTGTTGATTACAGTCAATGGAAGAAACTATTGCATATGTTGTTTTCCAAAGGCAGAACGTATTTAACTATTTATGTATATATAAATGTATTGATGAAAAGTTTGATGATTCGTCAAACACTGATCTCTATTTTTTCAAATCAACACCCCGGAAATTAAATTTTTTTTACAGTTTTGTTTTTGCAAAAAAAAAACAAAATAAAAACAAAACATTCTTACTGATTATTTGTTAGGTAAAGAAAGACCTACCAAGCGAAGATCTTTCTTCGATTGCCATATTGACTGTCAAAGTATATGAACGGATATCTGACACAGATGGATGTATACAACCGCCAGCGGAAAACTCCTCAGAAGATAAAGGGTTTAACCTGACATTGTTTCTCATTGCCCTCGGCATACTTTCATGCAGTCGCAGCATCTTCATATAGCGGTTGACATGTGTGTGCTCGCACGTGTGCCCGATGTATCTATTAAACACTGATCTTAATAATGTTTCAATTTTATTGGTTGGATTTAATATTTGCCTTGTTTGTATGAATATTGATGTGGACATTCTAATATAATTAAGAAGGTTACATTGAAAGTGGACAGCAAGTTTAAGTACATATAGCGAGTTATTTTATCGTTTCACACATACTGACTGACCAGGACAATTTACTATGTGTTTGTATTTTTGCTTTGTGATATGTTTTATTTCTCTGCTTTTCACTTTGATTAAATAAAACTGGTTTGTACCATTTAAACACCGGTAGTAAGCAATTTATGTATAACGAGCTCTCTGTATATAATTTTGTTTGTGTCCATTCTTTTATAGCATAAAAGATAGCATAAATAAGAGATAGTTTAACTATCTGCTCTTTTGGTTAACCCCATAATTTGAATATATAATGTAAACAAATCTGTAAATAGTGGGTTCACCTAATAACTGTACTTTTTAACTTCTTGTATGATGAATAAAGAGTTAATAAAGTTTCAAGATATATGACCCCTATCCTATTGTCACCTGTGTTCAACTGTGTTGTTGTCTTTATTTTCATTTGTTCATGTTGTGTATTATTATGATGGTGTATATTTTATGTTATTTCACCGCAATACCCTGTGTGCATACCTGTTAACTCAATGACCCTGTTTTTGATTGCCTTTTATGTACCTATATTGGACATATATCCTAATGGGCAATGGTAATATAGCATGGACAGACGAAAACGCTCCCATTTTAATTTAATCATAAAATTGCTTTGGTTTTATTAAGAATGACAATTTTACACTTTAATTTCACCATAACTACAAAAAATCGAAACTTTGGGATGTATGTCACATGTTACATTAAATTTTGATCTTTTCGAACGAAGTTATTTTAACTCACTTTATCAATTACTTAAATTAAATATGTATTTGCCTAAATATAAAGATAACTTTGTGCTTCCATACCTAAACTTTATGTAAAACATCAAATGGCAAAATCTTTTAGCAATATAACCAAATCAAAAAGTAGATAATACTGTTGTGTATGTACAGATGTGTACTCTGATCAATATATATTATCTATTTCCGTGATTTTGCACAAATATTAGATCAAAAGATAAGCTTTGGTTTTACAGTAATATTCTTAAAAATTTATGACAGAGGCAGGTTATTTCTCAAAGCATTTAATAGTAATAAAATATCAGAATGGAATAACTATAAACACAAATTCGAAAAAAAAATACGGTGTTCCGTTTGGACAATCGTGATTTTTTATTTAGTCTGTACGATGGCACGATGATGAAAACGCGATGGAACGATGGTACGATGGTGAAAACGCAATGGTACGATGATGAAAACACGATGGTACGATGGTGAAATCGCGATGGCACGATAGCACGATGGTGAAAACGCGATGTGACACATAAAATATGTGCGATGGTACGATGGTGAAAACGCGATGGTACGTACCATAGCAACATCGCGATTTCACCATCGTACCATCTGCAAGTTGATTCCAAAGTCTCCACTTGAAGATTTTCTATATGTTGTATAGTTATAGGCTGGGGAATCAGTCGTGTGTAGGTCTTCTGTTTAACGGAACAATTATCAAACGACCGGATATTCCTTCTGTCATTGCGCTCTTCTATGGAGCTAATCTGTGTCTGACAAACGCTTGTTATGTAGATCATGGTAAAAAGAAGACAAACGCTTAAAATCCACATGAACATGAGAAATGTTTCAGTCATTTTTTAATTTCATTTTATGACCTATTCATACACAAATCCTGAAGTAAATGCCAGTAAATATTAGTGGTTGTCACATGAAGGAGAATATTTAACAGGTATATTTTGTAAACAATGTGCCAATGTAGTAAGAATAAGAAATTGGATAATATGCTATTAATACGTATCATTAACTAAGGTTTGTCCTAAATATCAATAATCAAGTTTGCTCAAAGATCTGCAAATCCAACAAGAAACAGTTTAACATTACATCGTAAATGTAGAACAATAGACATAGGCCGCAAACAAATGTTCAATTGTTAAATAAATAAAATAAATATGTATGAATTATTTAAGTGTGGTCAAAACCTGACCAAGAATGTTGTATTTGTACTCCAATATTACAAAAGTTTTTTGTAACTTTTGCGCACTACATTATGTATAAAAAAAACTCAAAAACTTGTCCCTGTTCTTGAAATTATTAACATTTTATCTACCAAATTATACGTTTGATCTGAGATCTTTTAAAGTTCTTTAATTTATAAAAGTCCTTCAAACGAAAATCACATGTAATTTCAGTGATCGATTCTCGAAAAATCATTTATAGTAAAATTGACTTTACACTTCCTTTTATCTAAAAGTTCAACAAAAAGGATCTTCAAATTTCATGATTTCAGTTTATTTACCCATGCCATCTGACATTGAACACTATAAAATCAGATTCATTTAGTTGTTCTTAACTAAATTATTGGCAATTTAGGTATTTATAACATGTTCTAATAGTTTGATTTTAGAAATTGCATGTTACGTAAATTGTATATTCATAAAGACATATTGTAATTAAGTAAAACTAATCTAGAAAGTTTTCCTTTCTATTTCGGGTTTAATGCAAATGCGATAACAAATGTAAGAATCTTAGGGTAACACAGAAAACATCCAAAACGACAAAATTATTTTGAATATTACTTGGGATATCAATTGAATGTGGCAAGTATTATTAATATAATTGATATAAAAATGTTAAGATTCAAATCTACACGAGGATTTAATAAATATTTGTACCTTATCAAAAATAGTTAATGAGTAATTCTCATCAGAAAGAGATTCTTTTCCAAACAAAAGGGTCTTTACGCTCACAGGATGGAAACTAATTAAAGGATGGAAATAAATACTTGATTAATATGCAAATATATATATAATATAAACATTATATCAATTGAACACATCGATAATCATATAATATATTAGACATTTGCTGAACACAATAAACGAAGGGTACCTGATGAGGTCTGATATTATTCTCGTTATTTTGGATAAATTTTCAAACTCAGATCTTGTGTAAAATAAACTCAGTAAGTTCTTTCTTAACTTAAACTGTTCACTAGAAAATGTAATGAGATCTATATGCAAGAACTATTGTAGATCAATTTAACTAGAGAGTGTTAGAACTATCCTGTACATTTTATTTTAAAACTATCCTTTTCAATATATTTCATAATGGCAAGAACAATCCTTTACATTTTAGTTTAGAACTATCCTAGACTATTCTTTACATTTTATTTGAGAATGGCCAATGAGATTCCCTGGTCTCATGTAATTTTAAAACCAATGAAAACTCTTCTTATTTTCAGTTCTTCCTTGCAAATTGTACAGGAAGTCAAGCTTTTAAAAATATTGATCGGAATACTTGACTCTATCGTGATTGATGACTTTAATTACGTCTCAATATTTTTAAATATCAAATGTTAAATATCGTTATCTTTTATAGGGATAATGTACGTCACTTCCGGTTTGAGGTCGCACTGAATATCAGGTAGCAGCTCTTACATTTGTGTGATTCTGGTCGTTGCAAGTGCTACACTGAGGCAATTACCGATAATTTTACGCAAACATTATGAAAAATTCTTATTCTATTTGACCAAATATTAAAATCGGCATGTGAATATGTTGGCCACTGACCTGTAAGACGTGCCTATGTTGTTAAAAAAAACTTGATAAACTACATCACTAATTTTTACAAAGTATGTTTTAATAATCAAAAGAGAATTTGGTAGATTTAATAATATACCTAGGTCTCAACGCAAACGTTAGATGTGTAATCAAAGTGTTTGTAAAATTCAAAATATCATTTTTTATTTCTTTAATGCCCAAAGTACTATGACCTACGCATGAAATACAATATGAGATAAACATTTCCTAGTATAATAAATTTGTCTCAGTTTTGTCTAACCAAAATACCTAGACATTGAGAAAATTGTCAAAATTGTGTACGACCGTCTGAAACTAAGAGAAGAAAATATCAACCTTTTAGCTGCTTCATAGTTAAATTTTTGTATTTCATTTATATATTTATTGAATTAGAACATTCTAGTTCATACTTAATGTTCATTATAGATATAACATCACAATTATCATAAATATGAATTATGGCTTAATTAACCTCAAAATCGTATTAGACGCCTTATTTGTAATATCTTATTTTACGATGCTTTAAGACTTATAAAAAATGGAAAAGGAAGAAAACGTGAGATAGCTTTGTAAATAAATTTATCTTTCTTAGTTCGACATGTCAATATTTGAGGTATTGACAAATATTATAAATAAAGCCTGTCCGTAGATGTATACTTATCGACATGAATTGTATTACGCAATAGGCACATATTTGTTGAGAACAGTGCTGGTTTGATTGAAATTTAAAAAAAAGCAAAAGAAAATTGCAGAAACGGATATTGGTTCACAGATTATCGCATATTTGTAAGTTTCATTTTTATAGATATATCTTTATGATTGCCTTCCTGCATCTTTTAGTTTACGTAATTATTATTCACTTTTCCAGTATATAAAATTTAATCTATGTTATTTAAAAAGTGCATAATGGTAGATATATAGAGAATACCAGGCTGGTGCTCGATATTACAAAAATGTTCAGGCAAGGCTTAGAAAAAAATTAAGGACGAGGCTCTTCATTACAATGATGTAGTGATTTTGATACAGTGGACAAGAATTATTTATATAAATATTTTATACACTTTTGTCTACAACTTATTTTGAAATATTTTACATCAACACATTTCTTTCATGTATTTACATGTTACCACCTATTCGTTCTTGTTTTATACTAATAGTATAATATTCTATTTTAATCAAATGCTTTTCTTCTTCAATAACCTTCATCGTACCTTGCTGATCTTTACCAACTGACAAAGTTTTTAGAGATTAGATATACATGTATGTCATGGGTATTTTTATCGTCAAATTGCATATCCAAAGGCTCTGTTGTACGTCCCTAATACTATATGTACATTTCAACAACGTTTATCCGGTTTAAAATGACATCCCGTTAATACTTATAACATATTTAGAAGAAAATATGTATCTTTAAAGAGAAAAAAAATGCTGAAAAAAATAGTTTGTTTTTTTAAGCAAAATTCATCGATGTTTCCATTTAAGCGTACTTGAGCTGAAGAACTATACTATTAATACTTTACACAAATGTCCCCATATATTATAAGATAGGAATAATGCACCGAGTCACATAGTTTACTTAAATATAAAATGTAGAATGTTTGTCTGTCGATGTTTTAATACTTTCCAAACCAAACATAAAAAGCCAAGAGCCAATAAATTAAATTACGAAAACCTCGTCGTTCAATTTCAAAACAGAACAGACACACAGTCTATTAGATTTATACATTAGTACATTAATTTTGTATTCATCTTTATACATACACTTTCATGATTAGGTTGCGTCTAATAAATATACTTGTAATGGAAACACTGGTTTGTGCAAAATCTTCATCGTCAAAATATGTCAAGTTAAAAACAGATCACTAAATACATTAATTTAGAATAATGAAAATACATTTTTATTTTCTTTTTCAGAGTCAGATGCCATTGTTATGTATATAGAATGGAACAAAAGACAGTTTTCACAATATGCATTTTCGTGTACATGTTTACACAAAAGGGTTTGTGTTGTGTTGTTAAATTTTTCTGGTCCTTCGGAATCTTTGATTATAGCACTTTTAAGTTTTTGAAAATTTAGTGCTAAGGGGTATGATGGAAGTTGCACTTTTTCGTTAATTTTAAGGTGCAACCTCAATCAAACCGATTCGGCAGTTTTCATGTTATTATGTTGCGATTAATGCTTCCGGCGGCTCAACTTTATCAAGATTTGTTTTGACTAATAAAAACATGCTGTCAAATTTGTTTTCGTTTAGGAAAGTCAAACTCATAATCTTTGATATTTGCGACTTAAATTCTAGTTATCATTTGTTATGGTCATTTGCAATATTCTCTTTTAAATCCTGAAGTATATGTAGGATAAGCATTTGTTTAGACACAGTAAAATAATATCGGAGAGTAAAGTTAAGTAACAATCTCATGAGCGTGTTCCACAATTACGAGCAATATCCCCAAATAAACGAGAGAGAAAAGAATCATGGAGGTGTTTCGATTGCGCAGTGGCACGTGAAAAGCATGACAACCGATTTCTTTATACCAAACGAATCAGGCGTATAATTATATACAACACAATTATGCATCTTTTTTCCGTGCATTTACATCTGCAGAAGCCCTACTGTAAACATATCAAGTCCCCTGCCATGCGTGCTTGGCCTTTCATTGCCTCCTCGTGCTTCTGCAGATGTTAATGGTACAGTACCAAAAAAGGTAAATTAACCCTCTAGTGATTATAACGATAAAATATTATAAAAAATCCCATATTCTATGTATGGTGCCATCGATAATAATTTTTAGATTTTATTTCACAGCATATGCAGTATGTGACTTGCAGTCGCCATTTATAATCTCGGAAACAGCACCAAATGGTATGTGCAATTTAAGTTTTAGTGTGTGCATGGTCTAAATGTACAGTTCATACAAAGTATATTTGATTATAATCAAAAATTCGGATTCAATGAATTACCAAGCGGTCTGAGAGCAAGTATTTTAAATATTCATAATTGATTAAACAATAATTATTTTATACTGAATTCGTCTGACTTTTACTTTAAATCTCTCCGTTGTTTCTAATTATTATGTAAGTTTCCCATAGCTGCTCAAATCAGAGCTGTTTTTTATTCTATTGAGATTCATCTCATGCCGAAAGGTTATTAATGAAGGAAGTATCCATCACTCCTTGAGGGATAAAACCTTGCCAAAACAATCGTACATATGTCTGTGCTCCAAAATCTGTAAGAGAAAGATTGAGTTCCCTCACGTTAACAGAAACAGCTAAAAATTCTATCCAAACACAACCACTTGAACATTAATTCATCCTTAATTAAGCATTTGTATAAGCATGTCTGATTAATAATTTTATTCATAATTTCATAGGCACTGTTATATTTAATACCACCAAACCCCAGGGAACAACTCCGTCGTTTACCATTAAAAGTCCAACACAAGGAGGTGTCGGCGCCGCATTGATGGACAGACTTTTGATAATTAATAGTATCACAACCTTTCAACTGATCAATACGGAAGTCCTAGATCTGGAAGAGTTCATGATCTCGGTATGGTATGATATTTCATGATAAGAAATTGCTATTGTGATTTTCAATACAGCCAATTATTGCTGTTTTTATTTTTGTAAACATACAAAACATACATTTGTTTTAAGAAAGTTTTCATTTCTTTCAATTATTTCAGAGATTATTGAACTGTTTCTGTTTTGATACTTTTAAAATTGTATTCGTTTAGTTTTCTGCAATTCAAAATGATAAAAGTAAAAGATACAGAAAAAATTTCTTAGAAATATATTAAATAACTCATTTTTTAATAGATGATATGCAAATGCCGTAAAAGTAGTTCATTTCTAGGAAATAACTATATATATCATGAAAATTTTATCTTTGTATTTTAGTATGGCGCGGATATTAGAGCTATATCGTTGTTGGTCACCTGTGGCGGAAATAATGTAATTATTCTATTTATATCGCCATCCTTCCAAATTCAATACAGCATAACGCTATTTATTTGCGATTAATGACTCGTTCTTTTCATGAGGAGTATTAAAGAGTCTGGAATATAACATATCTTTTAAAACCGATCTTGCTTTACTGACCACCGATATCGCAAGACTTATGTCTAAAAAAGTGTCTTATGGTATCTTCCCAAGTTTCATAAGTTCTAATTAAAACCATTTTCATAATAAAACTTATTCGATACTCAATAAAATAAGTTTTTTTTATTGCCAACATACCGTATAACTGAGTCATTTTTAAGATAAATAAAGGTGTTAATTTACAGTGTGATATGTTATTTGCATGATTTATAGAACTCTACAAGTTACAGCTGATTTAAAACCTTGAAATGTTATTCAAATTCTGTGCGGTTTTGTCAATTTTGTCTTTAGGATTGTTGTCTGAAATCTTGAAATCACGTTAAAAATATTTGTATAACAAACCATAAATTGTTTTAACAATATTGATATTAGTCATTTAAACATTGAATGATTTTCTTAAGAAGTGATGAAGTGGTCGGTGTTCAAAATAATATACAAATTCATACTCTTTATTACGCTATAACCGCATATCTAGAATATTAAACATTTTTACAACCTGGTAACATTAAAATGCCGTACAAAAAGTTCGGAGTTGAAAGTTGTGGGTGCGAATCTAGCTCAAACAATAAATATAGTTTTGTACTTTAAGACATGGAAATGCCTTTTGCCTTTACAGAATTACCAGACAGTTACTTATGATACGTACTTTGTATGCAACTCGCAAAACATATACAAAAAAACATATACAGAACTTTCCTGAAATATAATTCACACTTTCTCTTGCTTTTCAGCATATTTTATTGACACTAAGATAGAATACTTTAGACCAATTTCTTATTACATTTTATTATGTACTGACTTTATATAGGATTAAACCTTTTGCGCAAACATAAATATTTATCTTCACTGTTCAGAAGAATAAGACATTTATATAATCTCCTGACAATAAAATACTAAAAAAAAACGAATGCTATTCTGAAAAAGAAATATGCAACTGTTATTCAAACAACATGCAACTTCATAAATTCAAGCGCCCTGTATTATCAAATATTTGTCAAAGAATGGGGTGTTGTATACCAGTCTCAGATTGAAAAAATACCCAAAAAACAATATTGCTATTTCTAATTTTCCTCTTGTTATTGTTAACATTAAATACAGAATATGCGTAAGTATGACTAGAGATGAATTAAAATCGATAAGAAGACATAAACTTTTAACTTCAGATTGCAGTGTTTATTAACGTGGCCGGAGTAAACGAATACGCTCCCGTTTTTAATAATGCCCCATACAACGTAACGTTGAAAGAGGTAAGATTGTAATCATTATGCAATATAATGATACTAATAATATAAATAATTGATGGAGATAATGATAGTTATGTGTTTGAGCCTTAGATATAAAACTGCAAAGAATGCGTTATTTGAAGTTATGACATGCACATGTGTTTTAAATAGGAAGAGAGATAGCGAATGTACTCATCCCGGGGTCGGTGGCACCGTCACATTTTGATTAAGTCGGTATCTCAAACACTACTGAAGGAAATGGGTTGGAGCTTCACACACTGGTTCTCTCATCTAACATGATGGGCACATGTCCCTTAACTCTGAGTTACCTTTTTACAGAGCCTCCTTAATCCATTGTCTTACAGACAAATTTTCTTACAAAAATAATTTAATAAAGACAATTTTAAGATCATATTATCTTAATTTATTACGAACCTCTAAAACAAAGCATGTCTTAACCAACATTTAAAAAAACTATCTAATAAATAAAATTTTAAGATCAAGTTATTTTAATTTTTTTCGAATCTCTTAAACAAAGCATGTATTACAAACCTTTCATTGTTGATTCATATAAAACATATGGAATACAAAATATCCTTCCCTCGTATGAAAATTATAGGTATGTCTATACAGATACGGATCTATATATACCTCTGTTGAACCTCAATATTTACAAAAACACATTTGTCACACTTGTGAAAACTTCGCTAGAATTCGTCACATGTGTGTGACAAGTTTGGCACACATTTGTGAATTATTCGCTCAGCACCTTTTATCAATGGAAGCAGAAACGAATTCGTCACAGGTAAGAATTAATAAAAAGTGACACGTTAAAATATTGTCAAACGAAATTAACACACATTCACAGTATATATCACCAAGTAAAATCGCTGGTAGATTGTTATCCCCGCCGATAAAATCGGGGGTGGGGTGTAATGTTTTGGCGTTGTCCGTGTGTGCGTCCATATGTGCGTCCGAGATTCGTTTCCGTGTTAGTTCTTGAAAATGAATTTTTCAATGAAACTTCTTAATCAAGAGGAGATGAGAAAATCGTCGAGGTCGACCATTTTACCATTATTACCTCTGATTAGTTAAACAATATACATATGAAGTAATTTTCGTTCCCGGGCTATTTGTTGAAAAACTATTGGCTAGATTTAAGTGAAATTTGACGTTGTACTGTGAAATCGCCGTCAATCGGTCCTCCTTGGCTTTCAGTCTGAAAATGTTATTACAAAAATGTGTTTTGTATCCTAATGATAACAAAAGCGCAATACTATACAGTGCGAATTTTTTTGGTTGTTTTGTTGTTTTTATATTTAATTTGGGAAAAAAACGCGTGACACAATTGCAAGCGGCCACAAGCTACTCAATCATGGTCCGTAAGTGTACAGCAAGTAACCCTTTCTTTCCTTCTAGTCATGGCTTTAAAGATGTCGATTCATACAAAACATTTAGCAATATGCACAGAAATTGGACGTGGTGAATGTCGTTCACTGTATGGGCGTGGCCGTTCTAAGTATATTTAGGAATTGCAGTCCGGACAATTCAAACTTTAGCCCCCTAAAACTTGCACGTACGTACCGATATGTCTCATATTTTCTGTGAAAATTTCGTTTATACTTAGAGGTGGTTGAAAAATAGATCTTGAGAATTTCACAGTGCCTTTATGTGCCAAATTCATACGAACTTGTCACACACGTGTGGGGAATTCGAGCGAATTTTCCATATGTGTGACGAATTCGTTTTTGTTAATATTGAGGTTCAACAATGGAGTATTTAATGAATAAACTTTTATGATGTTACGCTATACGGTCGCAGCTTAAGCTACATCATCATCTTCCAATTTAATATACGAGTACTCTTTAAAGACATTCGCCCAATATTTTCTTTTGACAACATATTTTTATGTTTAGTCTCTGGCTGTTGGTTCATTAATATTTTCCCTGAGGTCAAGGGTTACTGATGCTGACGTCGTTGGTGCTGAAAACTACATTTTTGCCATTCAAAAGTACAGTATAATAGATGTAAGTAATTTGATTTGTTAACGAAGTATTTCCAATTTAAAAATTGCTTAACTTTGGAGATCGTAATAAAAGTAGCTTTTCATTTTTGAACAAGCCATCCTCATATTCTTTACAAGAGTCGGACAATTATAAAGTGCGGATTTTAACTAGTTCTGACACAGATGCATGAAAAAGAAATGATAAATTAAATTGTTATGTCAAAACGATACATAACGGTTCCTAAACTATTATTACATTTATTAAGTTACAGTATGACGGTGCAAACTTTTTCAATATACCAGCATTATCTAAAGGAGACATAACTCTTGCCAAGAAGCTCGATTTTGATACCATGGCGAGAAGCAGTGTTTTTCTCAACCTGAGTGTATCCGTAAGTTGTATAATAATACATCACAAAAACGAAATATAAAAACGGCTCATATACTGAGGGAGATCCAATATTCTGTGGCAAGCTTATATTTTTCCACATAGACTGGAGCACATCCCAAAGAAATTGGTAAAGAAATAAAATACTTTTCGAGTCGAGCAAATTATATTTTGAAAAGGACGCCAATGTCACGTGGTATTGCTACAAGGAATAAAGATAGCCTTGAACCAACAATTCTACCAGGAACTGATGAACCAGTTACTTTACAATACACACATATTGTTTATACAACGTTGTACTGTAAAGAAATATGTAACCAAAATAGTAAATTACAAGGTTCAGCCGCAGAGATAATATTTGATATAATATTCTTATAATTTTGAGAAAACTTAACTGGGTATTATATAACGGTGCAATTTCCAAATCGGTGACTCCGATATATATCACATCGCCGCTAAATGTCGCAATCGGCAGAACATACAAAAAAGCATTATCACAAAATTATCAAATTTTGTTTCCTCGAAATGAAAGATATAGAGGATATTTGTTTGTTTGTGTGTAAGATGAAATTTTATTTCATCGAGTGGGCTTTAAAAACAGTATTCTCACGAGTGGCGTAGCCACGAGTGAGAATACTGTTTTTAAAGTTCACGAGATGAAATAAAATTACATCTTACACAACAAACAAACAAATTTTCTTTTTATTTTATGCTTAAAAACAAGTTAAAACGAAATTTCCATAATATTAACGTAAATATTAAAATCTGTTTTCCCCATTGAGAGCCCCATTTAGTCGGAATTTCTCATCAAAAACAAGAAGTCTTGAGCTGAAAAATAAGTCCGACAATCGACGTTAAATGACGGTAATATTATTCATTTTATTAAAAAAATATGAATTATCGCTTGTTTTAATAATAAAAACAAACAATTCTTGTAGGAGAAAAAGTCCAACCATCCATCCATATTTCTGTTACTTACTGCGAATTTATATTAGACATGGCTTTGTAAAATGTAAGCGGCAGCCATTTTTTAAAGTTGTGTATTTCACGGGAGGAAAATAATTGTGTTTGATTCAGAGTAATGTCATTTGGATTTGTTAGTCATACACCTTTTTAAAAGAAAGAAAACTTATTTGAGGATTGCAACAGACAAAAAATAAGTGTTGACAGATGTGAAAACATTCAAAAAAGCAGCTATGAAAATGGAAAACTTGGAAGCTGGCTAAAGAACGCTGGGTTGTTTTAACTTGTTCCTCGTGTGATGGCTGTGACATTGCTTTTCAATTTTTCATAAAGCATACGGCAGCTATTGCTCGTAGGATACTTTAATATGCCCAAATGTCATCAAGAGCAGTTTTGCATGTGGAAGGAATGTATTTTTCAGACTGTAAAAATGAAAAAAAAAAAAAAATTAGAGACAAAATTTGGTGATTGGAATTTGATTGAATAGAAGTAAGTTTTCTTCTTTTTATTACTTTTGACATTTAAGTTATTTATCAATTTCAGCTTTACTTTTCTTAAAACAGCCTGACATTGTCAGAATTGTCGGCAAAAATAAAATTGAGATACCACATGGGGAAAATCTTAAAAAGTAGTTTCGTCATTGAAAAGTGTGAAATTATATTTTGATAATTTTCACTGTGAAATTATCAAATATAATTTTGACGGATAAATCAGTAATCCACTGAAAAGCATAAAATAAATTATGATAAATAAAATAATACATAAAACATGTCACAGAAACAACAACAACAAAATAATACATAAAAGAAGCTTACAATTCTAAGTTATAGCTGAAATGAAATTACTTTTTTTTCACAGGATGAGCCTCCGTCAAGACCTACCGCCAAGACAACTTATACCACCTTGGAAATACGTGTAACAGATGTCGATGATCAGCCTCCATACTTTGAATATCCTGATTGTCCTCCGCCATGTCTAGTTCCACAATTTGTGTCCATCATAGAACTTTCTGACAAAGTACGTATATTAACATAAGAAATAAATAAATGAAAGACCGATTGAGCACCGGCAATAATATACATAAAAAGTTATTGGATGACGTTTCTCATACAAAAAAATCAGACAGTTACGCTGTTCAAACTATTTTAGTAAACGATAGACATGGTTTGGTATTGTACATGAAAACATTTTAGTTATTGTCATTTTATTGAGATATATCGATATTTAACTACTTTTCTTCGTCAGAGTTTATAGACAACTGATACATTTTTATGTGTTTCAATTTAGCTTTATTTTGTTTATTTGAATCATAAGCAGTTTTCTTGAAAATGTATAATTCAGTGTATGATAACAACAGCAACAACAACAACAAAAAGTATCGTAAAGCTATTAAAACTCATTCTCAATGTATTGGCCACTTGAAATTAGAAATTAAGTTTTGTTTTGTAAGTGTATATTGTCAAAGATAAAGGTTCTATAGGTATTATTATGTATTTGGCACAGTGTTTTAAGAGGTCTTTTTCAATTTCAACCACTTTGAATATAATATGTTTGTTTTATATGGTGGCTGATTGTGCCATGTCATATTTTCGCTTAAAATATTTTTCTTTAAACGATTATTTAAATTTATCATTGCAGTTATAGTAGGACAGTTACTCCTGATTACTATATTTCATTTTTTTTATAAATAAATAAACGAAAACGTATCCTACAAAATCTTGTACACTTACACGCTATTGCAATGATGTCAAACATTAAACAGTTTCATTCCCACATCCGAATTATAAAAAAAAACACTTTGATTTACGTTAAGATGTAGGGACATATTTGTCTTTCTAGAATTATTTTTCAACCTTTTAAAACAGTTAAAGGTCAGAAATTTGTTGTTTACTTGCATATAATTAAGGTGTATAATTCATAACAAAATGGTTATTTCGATGGTGTGACTATATTCTACGTTTGGTTGTTTCACAAATAGAAGCTCACAGAAATATTTCAATTATTCTGACTTACAAACTTTAAATAATATTTATATTAAACTTTGAACCTATGTTTAGCATGAAAATCATAAAATCACAAGAGTGTGACATGTTTTGTCCAGTTTATTGAGAGTGCGTTATAAGTGTCCCAAACTTAAATATAATATAAGGGTTAGGGATAGTCCAAAATCCTTATATTACGATGCATAGAAATAGACCTTTGGTACCTGACAGTGTCTGATAATGGTAAATGCAGTTTTATCACTATTTTTATATTTATCTAGGGTCCACTGTCAATAATACCAGCCATAAGAGGGAATGACCTAGACAGTCTTGGCACTCCTCTAGTGTATTCAATTAAAGCTGGTGAGTAAGCAGTAATATATATATATATATTTGAACTTGGTTAAAGTAAATATTAGAACGCTTTCTGACTGGAAATTACACATTCAAGTAAATGTTTACTATAATAATTCACATAGCTAACATATTTACTGCCATGCATTGTTCAACAACGAGAAATAATGTATTGAGTTCTCTCATACAAGTATCTCATTTTATAAGAAAATTATTTGCATAACAAACATATCTTATTTCAATCACTTCCGATAGCTATCCGATTACAAAAAAAATGCAATGTGTTTCACCATGATTTAAAATGATTTTCCTTTTTAAATGTTTTTTCAGATTACCAAAACGACACTAAATTTCATCCATTATTTATTTAATGAATTAACTTTATTTATTTATTAACTTATTGATTGATTGATTGATTTATTTATTTATGTATTTGTTTATTTATTTATTCATATTTAAGGTAACCAGCATAATATATTCACAATGAATCCAGTGACTGGTGCTGTGAATCAAGATTTTTCTTTGAACGAAGCAGGTCTCTCCAATGTGGAATTAAGACTTCTCATTGAGGTAATGTAAACTGAAATGACCATATGTCTAAAACATATAATTGCGTATATGTTTACGAAGATTTACGTTGACCGTCAAATCATTCTTGTTTGCCTTAAGACTTTTGCACAAAATATGTGTTTCAAGACTCTTTAAATTTAAAATCATGTTCTGAGAAATTCAGTAAGTTTTTTTTATTTAAATCGGGATTTTAATTTCGGAAGAAAATGTTTTTCCGTCAACGTTTAACTTCTTCAACGTATTTCTGCAGGTAAAAAAGGACCTGCCAAACAAAGATCTTTCTTCGATCGGCATCTTGATAATCAAGGTATCTGAACGGATAACTAACACATCAGAAGTTTCACCACCGTCGAATGGAAACTCAGCAACAGATAAAGGCTTTGACCTGACGATTCCTTTTATTATTGTTAGCACTCTTTTTGTCCTTGTCTTTGTTCTTTTAATCGTTCTGTTTATCAAATATCGACTTCAGCAGCGTGACAAGGATACAAAACCTGCAGACGTCAAACCAGAAACACATTCACAAGAGGGCGGGGACTCGTATATGAACAACTAAATTTAAGTAACTATGCCGTACTTGGGAACATGACAGACAAGATCTAGGATACTCCAGCTAGTAATGGCGATTTGTAAATGCCGTTGTCTTAGCGGGATACAGTAAAAAAAAGCGAGTTAAATTGATTCTCAGACTTTTCTTTAAAAACTGCGTTATCTGTTGTCTAGACTCTTTAAAAAGTTAGCAATGTTATACATGTATATACATAATATAAGTTGTAGACTGTTTATTCAACCTCATTATGCTGCAAGAAAAATAAAATAGATTAGACTGACCTCAGTGTAGATCCAGGCCAACCTTCATATCCGCATAGGCCCTATACAGATGGTGAACATGACAATTTAAGAAATTCATCAGGAAGATGTTAAAGTATTTCAGTAGTATTTAAATGAGTTGGTCTATAATGGAAGGTCTGTAATACCTTAAATAATTATATCAATTGTTTTTCGTTTCACACATAACAACAAGCCGCGAAAGAATTATATAGGGATAGTGATGTTGTTGGCAAGTGTATGTTACATGAACATAAATAAACGGTATTTTTGTAATCATTTTCATTTAAATGAACATACAGATCTATAAGAATGCCATGTACCGTCTATGTCCCGTTAACATCGGCATTGAATAGTATGAGTAGTAATGCACATCAAGATACATTCCTGTATATTCCACATAACTGTACTTCCAAATAAAAATATATTGATACATGTATGATTGTTTAAATAAAGTATTCAGTCTCTCGTAAAAAATGAGTGTTCCGGTGCCAGGAATCTAACCAGGGTCGCCTTGGGGAAAAGTTAAAAACCAGGAATCCTAACCACTAGACCACACCGGAGTCGCCTTGCAAATTATCTGAGAATTGCAGTGAAAATTGTGTAAAAAGTATCGAGGAAGTTATCATTGTAAGACATGCTCCTTTTCGTAAAACAATAAGAATGGCTCCTAATGCCAAACCATAATTAACTTTAAAAAGATAGAACCGTCAAAATTAGTTAATCAAATGTTCGTCAATCACAAATGTTTGATATTACATTTATTTGTGATCATGCGAGGAGATACGCAAAATCTTTGTTACCATCTTATTATTCAAACACTATGTTTGCATTGATATTTTTTTTTATTTTCTAATACTGTATGTACTTTTTTTAAGTACATCTGATTTACAAATTGTTATTTAATTTATTTGAACTCTTCCTGGGTAAACAAACCTATTCTCCCTAATTTCGCCATCTTTTGACTGTATAACTGTTAAATGGTGTCTTTTTTCCTGGACTTTCTTTGACATTAACTTTGAGTCAGCTCTTAAGAATGGATACATTTCTAAAAGTTCGGCTTCGATACAGTCTACGAGAATCCACGTGTAGAGAGTTCGAAATTCGAGAGACTTCCGGCTGTAATTAATAGACGACAATCCATCAATATCAATTCTGTATTCCGCTTGATTTAATAACATTTCCCTATGTGGATTGGGTGGATTTGATGAATCTTGTGTGTGTTTTAGAGCCAGGAATACTCCAATATGATCTGGAGGGCGTTGAAGAGTCATGTTTCTGGCACGGATTCGTTTATACATATCGTCGTCTTCACCTCCCCATCCGAAATAGAGGTTGGAAAACCCGTTTATTTTGGCATATTGCAAAGTAGTAAATGCTATTACCCCACCAACGTATCCAGAGTACGGAAGCTTTCCATTTTTAAATGCAGAATTTTGTGTTATCATATGTTTTGGTCCGTACCCACTGCATCTATATAAATTGTGGTCATTTATTGGTACAAGGTCTACATCATGTATGATATAGCACGTGTAATTCACGATACTTCCGGCTGTTAGAAAACCAGCGTTTGCTAGGATACCGCGGTTGAACTGAACGGGTAACGCCATTTCTACAACATATATTCCGTAAAACACTCTTTGTCTTTGTAGCATATTGTGTAAATGATTAACTAAAATTTTTAATTGGTCCGGACGATCTCTATAGGGAATTATTACGGAACAATTTTCTAACTTTCGGCTATTCCATCGGTCATTGCGCTCTTCTATGGTGATAATCTGTTTCTGACAAACGCTTGTCATATAGATCATGGTAGAAATAAGACAAACACTTAACATCCACATGAACATGAGAAATATTTTAGACATTTTTAATTTCATTTTATTGCCTATTTATATTCAAATCCTTAAGTATATGCCGTAAAGATTAGTGGCTGTCACATGAAGGAGAACATTTAACCGTTATATTTTGTATACAATTTCCTTAGTGCATACAACGACATCAATTCCGTTACTTCCATACCGTTAAGGAAAGACCGTTTCTGGCTTTATGAATCAATTCTTGCAAAAACTTTGGTTTATTCCCATTAACCAGCCACTATTACATCAAATCAATTATAACTTTGAAAAACAAGCCCTGGTTTGTACTTATTACCACTTTGTCACAGTATATTTTGAATTCTTACAAATAGAGTGGAACTCATTAAGACAGTGTGCCGATGTAGTAAGAATAAGAAACTGGATACTATACAAATAATTCATGTCATTTACTAAAGTTTGTCCTAAATATCAATAATCAAGTTTGCTCAAAGACCTATAAATTCAACAAAAAAGAGTTTAACCTTACAGCAATAGAAATTGGCCGCAAACAAATGTTCAACTGTTATATAAATAAAATAAATATGAATAATTTAACTGTGGTCGAAAACCTACCCAAGAATGTTTTATTTGTATTCTTAAAGGATACAAAAGTTTTTGTTTTTTTAAATTTTGTTCACTTTTGATCTGAGACCTATAAGAGTCATTCGAATGAACAAATGAAAATAGTATGTAATTTCAGTGATCGATTCTCGCAAAATCATTTCTAATGAAAATGACTATACATATCCTTTTATTTAAACGTTAAACAAAAAGAGTCTTAAAATTTCATGATTTCAATTTATTTCAATTTTACTCATGTCATCTAAAATTGAAAAAAAATGGTTAAATAACTATAAAATCAGATTCAATAAATTGTCCGTATCTAAATCATGGGTAATTTAGGTATTTTATAATATGTTCTAATAGTTTGATTTTAGAAATTTACAGTTATTTTTTATTCATAAAGACATATTGTAATAATTAGAATTAAAAAAATAAATCTAGAAACTAATAAGGTTTTTTTTTCTATTTCGGGTTTAATGCTAATGCTATAGAGTTGGGCAGATTTTCTACGGTATTACTATGTAAACAAAGACGTTGAAATAGTTCATTAATACACTTAATAACCCAAATTTCCTGATGTACAGTGTTATGATAGATTAAGTCTGTATTAAAGAAACGATATAAATTCTACTTGAATGGTGTAAATCTATAAAGTTTTGGAAATGAATTTTTGTATAATAATTTTAACGTATACCTGTTCTTACTTAAATATTCAAAGATTAATATGTTCAGGAATTGAATACGAGTACAAGTTGAACCTTAATTGAATTATTATAAATTATTCAAAACAGATTTTAAATTCTAAACATACATTGTTGATATTGTTAAAGAATGGCAAAGAAAACAGTTGTCAAAATTCAGATTATTATGTGTTCATTGTCTAGACATAGAACAGAAAAGAACATAATTATGTTTTATTAAATTTTAGAAATGATTCAACATCACTCCTATTCTGTACAAACATGTATCATAATAATCAAAATAGAAGTTGGTAGATTGAATAACATAGGTCTGAACGCAAATGTAATCAAAATGTCTGTATCATATTATCAGTTTTGTACTTTGATGTCCAACGAACTACGAATAAAATACAATATTATATAAACTTTGCTTAGTATAAATAAATTTGTCTCAGTTATGTCTAACCAAAATACCAATACATGTACATTGAGAAAATTATTAAAATTTTATACGACCGTCTTAAACTAAAAGAGGAAAAGTTCAATCTTTCAGCTGTTTCATAGTAAAACCTCTGTATATCATTTATATATTCATTGAATTGGAACTTCTAATAAGATCATTATTAATGTAAATTATAGATATAACATCATAATTATCATAAATATGAATCTTTGTTCACTTCTGCTATGACTCATTTATTTGTGGTTTTGTATTATGTACTGAAATGTATTTAAGTTATGTAAAAATGTAATGATATTGACTTGATCATTATGTGTGTATACATGTACGTATATGGTTTTTGTACTGATTTATAATTTGTTAAGAAACTTTGTAATGTTTAAACAAATTAACAAACAACAACAACAACCTGATTACCAAGTGACTTTTCGTGGTCTGCATGAGGAAGAAAACCAATATGTTTTATAATTTGCCGTAACTCTTCTTATATTTCATTTTTGTGGGATAAAGTGTAGCTTATTCTAGTGATTAACGTATACATAGAAATTCAAAATTTCCTGGTAAAAATCTGATCTTTTTTTGTAAAATTAAACCACGTGAATATCTAATATGTATTCATTACTACTTTTTCATCTTTAACAACAGTTGGGTCTTATAAATGAAATATTTACTCACCAGAATGAGAATGATCAATAAAACTTATTATATCATATCTATAAAATAATGAAATATACACCTGGAAATAAGATAAGCCCACCGAGGATGTTTAAAATTGGTTGTGATTGAAGGCACTGTCATGAGATGACGACTTAATTGAGCTAAGAAATCGCAATTTGATAAGTAACATTACCAATTTAGTAATCATAAACCAGTCATTTTATGATTTTAGTTTATTCTTGACATAATTATTGAAGCATAAGCAAATATGTTGTTTTTACCCAAAATGTAAGTGTTTATAGGTATGGTGTTGGAGTGTTTACAAAACATTTACTGGTGGATATTTTTGGTTAATGTTGACGATTGCGTAACCTTAAATGACATTGCATAGTAATTTTTTAACAACCTGTGTAACCGCCACAAGTCCGGATGATAGCCTCAACCTATTCTTCACACCCGGCATTTCGCCTCAATTTTGACATGACCTTTACTGAAATTCTAATTTTTTATTTGGGAAATGGTACGAACCGCTTGTATTGAACCTGCAACAACTGGAACAAGCTCTGCACCAAGAATGGCTTCATTTACCTCAAAATCGCATTAGACGCCTTAATGATAGTATAATGGTTTAAGACTTATAAAAAATGAAAGGAAGAAAATTTGAGATAACGTTGTACATAAAGTTTATCTTTTATAAATCCATATATTAATATTGGAGGTATTGACAAAGATTATAAATAAAGCTCATCTGTAGATGTATACTTATCGACATGAATTGTACCACGCAATAGGCACACATTTGTTGAGAACAGTTATGGTTTGATTGAAATTTAAAAAAAATAATAGCAAAAGAAAATTGCAGTAACGGACATTGGTTTACAGATTGTCGCATATTTGTAAGTTTCATTTTATAGATATCTTTATGATTGCCTTTTAATTTACGTAATAATTATTCCCTTTTCCTGCAATATAACAATTTAATCGATGTTATTTCAAAACTGCATAATGATAGCTATATAGAGAATACCATGCTGGTGCCCGAAATTACAAAAATGTTCACACAGGACTTAGAAAAAATGAAGGGCGAGGCTCTTCATTACAATGAAGTAGTGATTTCGATACGGAGAATAAGAATCATTTATAAAAAAAAACTTTCATACACTTTTGTAAAATCTTATACATCAACAAGTTTCTTTAAGTTATTTACTAACGTAGTGATCTCCCTTACAGGATTATATCTCTACCATCACAACATTTTTGTCAAGATAATTGACGATATGATTTATTATCAATGTTGATATTTATTTTAAAAAGTTATCACGGTTTTGCTGAAGTTTCATGGCAGTAAGGAGTTTGATGTGAACTGAAATATAAATAATTTCGGCAACATATATTTTATGAAAATAATTATGATATCGCATCGTTTTTTTCCGATTTCAAAAAGAGAAATTATTCAAGTAATTTCGATTCTACAATTAACAAAAATGTTTTTCTTTTCAAACATTTTCAAACAGACTTGACACCTGAGCTCACAGTTATAATGTAGCTGTTTATTACAGATAAAACAATTATTATTCAATGATTTATTTAGCCTATCCGCCATTTTGACACAATCATGTGATAAGACAATTATCGCGTGATTTGTGTGAAAGCAGCGGTTATTGGCCGTAGCGTAACCGGTGCACGGAATTTGGGTATTTTAATGTTACATGCTCGTTCTTGTTTTATACGAATAGTATGATATTGTAATTTTTAATCAAATGCTATTCATTTAAAAAAACCCTTCTCGTACATTCCTGATGTTAACGTTTTTAGAGATAAGATATGTAGGTATCTAGACGCCATAGTTATTTGTTTTTTAGCAAAGTCTATCGATGTTCCCATTTAAGCGTACTTGAGCGTACTTGGGCTGAAGAAAACTTAATACTTGACACACATGTCCCCATATACTTTAAGACAGGAAATACACCGAGTTACAAAGTTTATTCAAATATAAAATAATGAATCATGTCAGTAAGTCGATATTTGAATACTTTACAAACCAAACCCAAAAAATTAGGTTGCGTCTAATAAATATACAAATGAAACACTGGTATGTACAACATCGTCATCGTCAAAATACGTCATGTTTAAAAAATATCACTAAATGTAACAAGAAAATCATTGATGCAAAGCATCAAAGGGCGACGTCAAAAGAATTTGATCCAGGTTTGCATCTAAATACTTAACAAAAGATGTGTACTTTATAGCAGTACCATTACATGTGACCTGGAGGCTAGGGCCAGTTTAAGTTGAAACTTAAACCAAAAAAGAATAGACTCTGTCTTGCCAAGATGCAAAGACAATGTATAGTCAATTAAGCAATCTTATAAGACTCATGCTATAAGAAA